GTGAATCCTCTCACCCACCACACCTCTGGCCTGTACCCCAGTTCTGCAAGCATAAACAAATCTTAAAAAAAAAAAAAAAAAAAAACTAATGTGGTGGCTCAGTGGGTTAAAGCACTGCCCCAGAGGCGATCCACATGACTCTGCAGACCACTCCTGACCCGCCTACTGATCCTCTCAGCAATGTACTTTGTCGGATCAGCCTGTCTGCTCCACACTCTTGTCTCTCATGAAGCCTCTCACCGCCCCCGCACCTCTGGCCTGTACCCCCGCTCTGTATGCATGAATAAATAATTAATGTACCAGGGAAGTGGCGAAGTGGGAGGAAAATACCTCTGTATCAAACATCTGTATCTGTCAGCACAGTTGTGATACTGACTTTCAAAAAGCCAGAATAGTTCCTCTGTGACATGCATTGCCATTTTATTGTTCTTTGCGTGTCCTAAATCTCTCGGTCGGCCGGGCTTTATGAACAGCTGGACCTCGGGCAAGCTTCCCAACTTCCCCACCCCGGTATTCAGTTCTCACACCCGTGATGCCCGCGGGTAATACGGCCTCAGGCACAAGGCTGACACGTGTGGCTACTGCGTTTGGCGCGCTCAGCACCTATCGTTTTTTTGCTCGTGTCATTATCCTCATCATCAGGTACCTGGCAGTGAACCCCCAGACCGAATTTCCCAGCTCTCCAAGTGGATTTTGTCCTCGGCCCTAACATCCCGCCTTCCCCGGCCGTCAGGTTTTTTTTTTTTGGCGCGGCAAAGCTGGGGCCCAATGAAACACTGGCTTTTCGCCCAGGAGCTCTGACTCGCTCTCCGCCTGGAAGTGACGGTTCAAATCTGCCGAGAGGGCGTGAGGGAAACTAGCGGGCCCTCCCCACGCCGCGGAGGGAGGAGTCGGCGAGGGCCACTCCGGGACGGAGGCGCGGGCCGGGCACTGACCTTCACTCTCCCGCCGGAGTCAGGCCCAAATTCGGCCATTCTCTTGAACATATTGTCCTACGGAAGAAGCCGCCGCCGCCAGGGAAAGAGATCAGGGCCGGCGGGGTCGCCGCTCCCCTCAGAGCCCCCGATCCTCCCGCGCGGGCCCAGACGGAGTTTCTGGCCGTGGGAGGGCGAGTCCCCGGGGCTAACGGCGCAGAGGAACCGCCAACTCCTCACCGCGGGAGGCGTCCCGGAAGCCCATTCAGCACCGCGAGGGTGGAGAGGGAAACGGAAGGAGGAGCAGTGGCGACACAGTGCGCAGGCGCGACGGGTGGGCGAGAGCGCGCAGTCTGCGCAGGCGTCGGGCCGCCGCCAGACGCACGGGAGGATGTGGGTTTGGGGCGCCCGCGGCACCTGCGGAGTCTGCAGTTAGCCTGTCACCAGCCTAACTAAACAACTCTATGGAGTCTGCCGTTGTTAGAGCTAAGAAAATGAAGTCATGTGTAAGGAAGTAATTGTAGTTAGGGCGGTGTGAATACATCACATCCATCGAACCAAAAGATAATCTACATTGGACTAAGGGGTTTGGGGGAAGGTTGCTGTATGTGAATGAGGAAGGATGCAATAGTTTAATCCTTCTATAGTGGGAAGCCACCAACCTAAAATAAACGTCAAGAAGGAGCGATATCAACCTATTGGTAATATCTAAAAGCATGGAAATGGATGTAACAAATATGGAAATATTAAACTAAAAGAGAAGAAAGCAGTTGCAACGGGAGAGGAAGGAGGAAACTGGTTGTAACTTATCTACAAACCTTGCAGAACTGACAGCACCGAGAATTCATAAACTTGGTAAAATTGATTTCAAAAAAGAATTTACACAAAATTCATTTAATTGAAGAACATCTATGAATGACTTTAGAAACCTCTGATTTATTTATGCATACAGAACTGGGGTACGGGCCAGAGGTACAGAGGATTCACCAGAGACAGAAGGGAACAGAACAGGCAGATCTACTGAAATACACTGCTGAGGGAGCAACGGGTGGGTCAGGAGAGATCTGCTGTGCCATGTGGGTCAGCTCCCTGGCTGGGGATGGAACTCGCAGTGGCTTCTGAGAGCTTCATAGTGTGGTGCTTTAACCCCCTGAATGCATTTTTAAGTAATTCCTGCAAGTTACTTACAAGAAAAAAATGTTTAAGTGAGTTTATTAAATAGACGTGCAAGAAACGTGCTCAGAACATAGTAATAATTAGTACTGACGTACTAATTGGAGTTAGTGGGTTTGGAGAGCTAGGTTCTTGGGTCAACTCAGGGAAAGGTTTCACCAGTGCTCCCCTTTCAGTGGCACTCAGTTTCTCCGCCAGAGACATTCTTTATATTTTAAAAAGCAGGTTTATGAGGAAAAGAGACAGAGTAAAAGACACTTGCATAGACACAAGTGGGCAGGAAGAGCTGCCCCACGGGGCTCTAAAAGGGACAGGGCAGCCTTGAGGAAGCTGCCCCTGCTGAGGGATGTCAGTGCTGAGAAGCCCTGGCAGGTAGGCAGGGGCAGGCAGGAGGCTGCTGTCCTAGAGAGGGAGTGGTAGAAAGAAGCACCTGTATAGACACAGGTGGGCAGAGGACTGCTGCCCCTTTGTGGGGGCAGTGATGGGTTTTCTCTTTCATTAGGAAGGGCTCATCTTTGTGAGTGGATGGTTTGTTCTCTAATCTCTTTATCTTCACCTTCAGGTATGTGCTCCTGACACTCCCTACGGCATTAATCTATAGCACGATTAATGGTGATGTTAATCCTTCTACTCCACCTCCTTATGTGTATCTTTAAGTTCTTCTATTCTTGTCCTCCATCATTCCATAGGAACTCAGTTTTGTCATATAGATTTTATCATCTGAATAGCCTGTGGTGAAACTAATGCAGTATAGAAATTGAGCTTCTTTAAGAAATCCTCAAACTTTGGGCCATCCCTGGTGGCTCAGCAGGCTGAAGCACAGCACTGCAGAGCTGGAAGCAGCCCCTTCAGCTGAATTCAATCCCAGGCCGAGGCGACCCACAGGGCGTGGCAGACCTCTCCTGTTCTGCTCCCCACACTGTCTCTGGTGAATTCTGTCAGTGCTCCTTCACCTCTGGCCTGTACCTCAATTCTGTATGCATAAATAAATAAAACTTTAAATAAAACCCTTGTGGTATAACAGGTTAAAGCACAGTATTATGAAGTTATTGCAGCCACTGTAGCAAGAGTTCAATCTCCAGCCATTGGAGTCACAGCAGACCTCTCTTGACCTGCATGCTGCTCCCCTCAGCAATGTATTTCAGTCAATCTGCCTGTTCTGCTCCCCACTCTGTCTCTGGTGAATCCTCTCACCCCCTGCACCTCTGACCTGTACCCCAGTACTGTATGTATGAATAAATAAATCTTTTTTAAATTCTGTATAAATAAATAAATCTTTTTAAAAATTCTCACTTTGGTACTGATTTTTATTATAGTCCCAGAATAAGATTTGAAATTTTGTTTGAGAACTTAATTGTATTAAAATAACATGCATGGGTTGGAAAAGATTTCTTATATATATAAAAAAAAAACTATGTAGTATCTCCAACAAACAATGCTTTTCCTCTTCACTCAACTTTTGCTAATCTCTGGTGTTTTTTTCAGTCACCCTCTGTGTTGGGCTACCTTGGAAATTCTTGGATACATTCCATCTCTGTTTCTTAGCTATTACCTTTCAGGTTTTCCTGCCCTACTTGACCCCATTCTTCATTCATCTCTAAATATTCTAATATGAGTAAATTTTTTTAAAGAGTTATTTATTATTTATTCATACAAGAACTGGGGTATAGGCCACAGTGAGAGGATTCACCAGCAATAGAGGGGAGCAGAACAGGCAGATCTACTGAAATACACTGCTGAGGGGAGCAACAGGCAGGTCAGGGGAGGTCGGCTGTGCCATGTGGGTCAGCTTCCTGGCTGGGGATCAAACTTGTGCTGCAGTGGCTTCAGATAGCTTCATAGTGCTGCACTTTAACTGGCTGTGCCACCAGGGAGAGCCCTGAGGCAATATACTAAATAATCAAAAGATATTCACTCAGACAATTGAAACTGATTGTGCACCATATATCAGTTGTTTAGAATATAGGTCGAAAAAAAGAATAAATTTCTGCCCTATTGTCAGGAATTGATCCAGTGTGGTGTGCTAAAGATGTAACACTGTAAGATTGGTGTCCAGACGTGGGCAGAGGCAGTACATTTAATCCACACCACAGGGTCAGTGCCACTTACCTTCCTGAAGGACTTTATAACAAAAGGGTTCTTGCGACCCCTACAGTCATCTAGGGGGGTCAAACAGCCAATCCTGTTATCAAGAAAATGAAAAGGTCTCAAAGAGAGAAAGGACCCATCCCTTCCTAGTCACCAAATTGTTACCTGTTATGAAGAGTCATTGTCTGGCTTCTACCAACTAACCACACAAAAATTTTGACAGCCAGTTAAAGGTTTCAATAGATGCATATCTATTGTCTCTCTCTGGTGGCACAATGGTTAAGAATTAAAAGCACAGCACTAGGAAGCTAGTCACAACCACTTCAACACAAGTTCAAGCCCAGCCAGAGATGTCACATGGTGGGGCAGACCTCTCCTGTCTCTCCTGAGCAGTGTGTTTCAGTCGATCTGCCTGTTCTGCTCCTCAATCTGTCTCCAGTGACTCCTCTCACCACCCCTACACCTTTGGCCTGTACCCCAGTTCGGTAGACATAAATAAATAAATCTTAAAAAAAAAAACAAACACTTATTGTGGACAAACAATAGGGGAAGAGGGATAAGTGCCCTGAGTCATACTCCCAAGTTGAGAGCAATGGGGATTCTGGTTTTATGTGGTTGATGACCAGGACAAGACAGCAGTGTATTGGCTGGTCAGGTTTTGTAAGCGAGGTACCAGAACCTTTAAGCACACTCAGATGCTTCACATGATCTCAAGCTTACACCCCTTCTCCCTCCCTATGAAGAGAATTGCATCTCAATCCACCAGATTTTCAACAACATGGAGGTAACAGTAACTAGCACCAAGTTAAAACAATAACACAAACAAGGACTAGGTTTGGGGCGCCCCATAACAGTGTGTTTGTGGATTGTTTCTCTTCAGGTTCAGCTAAGGATACAGGAAAGATTAAAAGTACCAAATCTTTTTATTTCCCTAATACTTTTTTTCTTTAGAGAACAGATGGGTTTAAACAAACAAAAGACAAGGTATGAATTGCAAAGCCTTTAATGAAAAGATGTTTGTCTTGTTTACAACATGCATAATTTCACACCTGTGATTAACTACATTTACTTCAATACTTGCAAATTCATCTGCCTCTGTGTTTAGTCATAATGCATGAATCCAGGTCAATATAAATTAAAACAGCAACAGCTCAACTAATCCTTTATTTTTTTTCTAACAAGCCAGGTGCTTAAGAGTTCTTTAAAGGAGTAAAAAATAGATTGATACATAAATTGTGATTTTATTTTTAAAGCTATATAAAAGCAACATTAAAAAAAATCCTTTCCATTAGAATAAAGGTCACACACACCAGTCTCTTCAGATAAGCTTTTCTATATGTTGGGTTTCTTTTGAGGCCACTATGAAACTCTGGTCTTAAAGCTAGAGTGCCTGTCCGCTGACTGTTGAATGTACTGGAAATGTATTAGATAGTCTAAATTTCACAAACATTCATTCTGTTGGCAAACTGAAAATTGTTGTAGGCTTCATGTAAAATTACAAACACATTCATAGACATTATGTCTCTTAAAACAAAGACTGTGTTTTGTTTTTCTACTTCTGTAAAAATGCTATTTGTTTGAAGAAAAAAGTGGTTCTGTGACCTTCCCCTCAACTGCTATTCCTCTAATATGAGAAAGAAATAAAATGGGCTGAAGAAGGGAAATTCCAGTTATACTCCACAACCCCGTATGTACTGAGAGACATCTCTATTTTGACAATGGTTTTTCCATCCCACCCTGTAAAGAAAGGTGAAACAAACAGTGGTAAGCTTAAAACACATCTTCATTGTAATACAGATACTTCAAGTCTTTGGGGGAAATAAACTATTTTATGTAAATAAAACACAGGTGATAGCTAGGTCCTAGTTCTCTATTTGGTAAATGGAAAAATATACATCAAGTACTTCACCTCCCCCCAAGTGCTCACTAGAGCAGTGATGAACAGTTACATGCAACTGCTAAGTGCATTCCTTAGTTTCAAAAATAATCTCAAGAGATAAGGAGCTAGTTATAAAAATTCTCAAAATTCCCGAAAATAAATTAAGGAATAAAGGAGTAAGATTCCGAATCAGTAAAAGTAGACTTTCTAGGTAATACATTGTTTACAGAAATTTAAAGCTACGATTTTAAGTTCTCAGTGCTATATTTTGAACTCTGAAAATCTTTTACAATAACTGAGAACAATAGCTTTCCCCTTTGATGTTGAAAACCTACCATGCTCTGATGCCTTGTGGGTCACTGACTACCCTCTTTGCACACTTAACAGCTTCAGTGATGTCATCCTGTAGTAAAACTGAAAAAGAGGTGATACGGAGTGAAATTAACTTTCTTAGAAATTCCATTTTAAGTTTAAGTTTAACCAGCTTTATTCGTTTAGGCTAAGGAAAAACACTGAAATTATTTTCTAGGCATCTGTCAAAGTTGAGGGGAAACTAGGCACTGTAAAAACAAAGCAAAATAGCAATTCTCCTACTAGAAATTTATCCTAAAGAAGTATTAAGAAATGCAGCCAGGACCTTCCTGGTGGCCTAAGAGTTAAGTCTCAGCACTATCACCAATATGGCCTGAGTTCACCTGAGTTAAGTCCAGGGCCAGGGAGTTGACCCACATACAGCACAGCAGACCTCTCCTGTCTCGCCTGCAGTGTATTTCAGTAAATACACTCCTTCTGCTCCCCAATCTATTTTTGGGGAACCCTCTAACCTACCACCCCCTTGCCCCTGCACCTCTAGCCTACAACCTAGTTCTTCTACACACACATACAAAGAGATGCACCCAAAGGTGAATGCACAAAGGGTTTCATAGCTATTAATAAAAAAGGAGTAGCAGTAGTAGTTGAATCAATAAATAATATTTATAATAGTGGAATTCCACTCATATATTTTTTAAAGATTTATTTATTCATACAGAACTGGGGTACAGGCCAGACATGCGGAGGGTATCTGGTGAGGAACAGAACAGGCAGATCAACGAAGTACACTGCTGAGGGGAGCAGCGGGCGGGTCAGGAGAGGTCTGCCACGCTACGTGGTCACCTCCAGGGCAGGCGGAGATCGAACTCATGCGGAAGTAGCTTAAGCTTCTTAGTGTAGTGCTTTAACCCGCTGCCACCAGGGAGGGCCTCCACTCATATTTTAAAACTAACACAGGTTTGTATTTGTTGATGTATGTATGCTAAGAAGCAAACATAAAACAGGATATATAATATGATCTAACCTTTGCTTAAATATACAAGGGGGTTAAAGCACAGCACTAAGAGGCTAAAGCCACTTCAGCAGGAGCTGGATCCCCTCCCGGCAGAGGTCACCACATGGCGCAGCAGACCTCTTCTGACCAGCCCGCTGCTCCCCTCAGCAGTGTAGTTCGTCCACATGACCATTCTGCTCCCCAGTCTTGTCTCTGGTGAGTCCTCTCACCCTTGCACCGCTGACCTGTACCCAGTTCTGTATGCAAAAATAAATAAATCTTAAAAAAAAAAAAAAAAGAAATGGGGGGGCCCTCTCTGGTGGCGCGGCTGGTTAAAGCACTGCACTAAGAAGCTTAAGCCAATTCCGCATGAGTTCGATCCC